TCGGACAACCAAGTTTCTGTCAATCACAAGATAGAAACTACTGTAGCAGTAGTAGCAGTAGTAGCAGTAGTAGTGGTAGTTGTTGTTGTTGTAGTAGTGGTAGCAACACCAGCACCATCAGTAGTAGTAGTAGCAGTAGTAGTAGTAATAGTGATAGTAGTAGTAGCAGTAGCAGTACTTCTACATCAGTAGTAGTAGCGGCAGGAGGAGCAGCAGTAGTAATAGTAATAGTAGTAGTAGCAACCTCAGTAGTAGTAGGAGCAGCAGCAGCAGTAGTAGCAGGAGCAGTAGTAGTAGTGGCAGGAGTAGCAGCAGCAGTAGTAGCAGCAGTAGAAGCAACAGTAGTAGTAGCAGTAGCAGCAGCAGTAGTAGTAGCAGTAGTAGTAGCAGTGGTAGCAGTAGTAGCAGCAGCAGCAGTAGTAGCAGTAGTAGTAGCAGTAGTAGCAGTAGTAGAAGCAGCAGCAGTAGTAGCAGCAGTAATAGCAGTAGGAGCAGCAGCAGTAGTAGCAGTAGCAGCAGCAGTAATAGTGGCAGCAGTAGCAGCAGCTGTAGTAGTAGCAGTAGTAGTAGCAGTAGTAGCAGCAGTAGAAGCAGCAGCAGTACCAGCAGCAGTAGCAGCAGCAGCAGTAGCAGCAGCAGTAATAGTGGCAGCAGTAGCAGCAGCAGTAGTAGTAGCAGTAGCAGCAGCAGTAATAGTAGTAGCAGTAGTAGTAGCAGTAGTAGCAGCAGTAGAAGCAGCAGCAGTACCAGCAGCAGTAGTAGCAGCAGTAATAGTAGCAGCAGTAGCAGCAGCAGTAGTAGAAAACTGAAAAAATCCCTGACTCCTGTATAGTGTTAAAATCACAAACTTAGTGTCATAGAGCTCCACAGTAGCTCTCTGTCATTGTGTTCCTGAGAAAGTAGCTCTCTCTGATGTGAGGTGAAACATTCTGGATCTGAGTCCTTTCTGGCTGTCTCAAAACAAGATGATATTTATGTTTCTCACTCCGGCAGCCTCCTCTGATTGACTCTCTTGCTGTGAGGAGATCATTTGCTTCCTATTCCCCCCCGCGGAGCTTGTCAGAGCATTTCTAATCAGCTTCTTCCTGGAAAAACTAAACGCTAAACGGATGACGTCATCTCTCACTCGACTCATTTCCACTGAGCAAAAACCAATGTGTTTCGCCCCAAAAATAACCCAGGGTCACCTCTTTACACACGGAGAGACACGGCCTGGTGGGTTGAAACGACTCCAGTGTTTATTGGGACATTCTTCACACGCCTCTCGATCTTTAAGTCATGTCATTCCACATTTGGGCCCAGATTTGTCCCTCTTTTATGCCCCAGTTAAAGGATTGAGTATTGACACACAGAATGGATATAATTAAAATTGAGCAGAAAATAAAAACAATTAGAAATTGCAAAAAAACATTTTTATAATCCTACTATTTCAACATCTCTCTGCGATCTATGGTTAAAGCAAATAAACAAATATGTGGATATAATATAGGTGGATAGAAAGAGACCAGAGAGAGACCAGAGAGAGACCAGAAAGGGAGACCAAAGAGAGACCAGAGAGAGACCAGAGAGAGACCAGAGAGAGACCAGAGAGAGACCAGAGAGAGACCAAAGAGAGACCAGAGAGAGACCAGCCAGAGAGAGACCAGAGAGATCAGAGAGAGACCAGAGAGGGAGACCAAAGAGACACCAGAAAGAGACCAGAGAGAGATCAGAGAGAGATCAGAGAGAGACCAGAGAGAGACCAGAAAGAGACCAGAGAGAGACCAGAGAGAGACCAGAGAGATCAGAGAGATCAGAGAGACCAGAGAGAGACCAGAGAGAGACCAGAGAGAGACCAGAGAGAGACCAGAGAGAGACCAGGGAGAGACCAGAGTGAGACTGGAGTGAGACCAGATTGAGACCAGAAAGAGACTAGGGAGAGACTTGAGAGAGAAACCAGAGACAGCTGAAAGTGAGCAGAAAGTGAGCAGAAAGTGAGCAGAGAGAACCCAGAATAAATAGATAGATTGATTGACAAAAGTAATTCATTCACAATCAGAATTAGCCTCAGAATATTTCTTTTTGCCATTGTGAGTAACAAAAAGTCACAAACTAAAAAATGTCTTTGACTCTCGGTGAAAGCAAAGTAAAAGTAAAATAAGACATGCATAAAAATAAAACAATTATGTATATAAAGTTAAGTAATATAGTTGTAAAGGGCCTTACCTGGACTTTGTTGACTATCAGCTGTTTCTCAAAATAAGCCTCACGGACATTTTTCATTTCACAAAATCCAAAACCTCTTTTTATCTGGTGTTTGTTGTGCATTAGGCAGATTCCGTCTCCCAACACACTCGGCTCCTCTTCCACCTGTGCCGGGCCCCTCCAGCTGCTGCACCCGCTCTTTGTCTGGCAGAGAGGAGATGAAATGGGCCGTGTTGTTTCTCGTAATAAGTGGCTTTTGTTTTCTCCCGTCACACAAGGCACAATTATGTTTGCTTGTTTCACAGACAGCAAGAAAATTAGACTTTGAAATGAGATGGAATCATAGTGCTACTCTTCTATGTTTGGGGAGAAAACACACACAAAATATTCATCACAGTTCTCATTGTTGTCGGGAAATCAGGACCCCGGAATTAATAGTCTGAGGTGGGCAGAGAAATTAGCCTATGGAGCTAGTTTAGCAAAGAAGAAATGGAAGGACAGGGACTGAGACAGATATTTTATTTGACAATGTTCAAATCCAGGTTCAAAACAGATATTTTTAGCTGTGCATACGACTGAAGGCACAAACTCGGAAAATGCTGTGGCTCTCGGTGCAGACAACTCTTAGTAGTTAAAACAGAAAAAGACATGCATAAAAATAAAAAAATAAGATGTATATAAAGTTTGTGACTATCTTCATTTCAGCCATCCATTTTCTTCCCCTTAAAGCTGCATTACCTGACTTTATTTTTGTATTCATTACGAAAATGCTTCCCGGTTCTATCATTCTATGGTCACGGGGGGGGGGGGGGGTTGGTAGTGGGGTGGGGCGATAGCTTCGTGAGTGCGGGGAGGGGGACCAGAAAGAGCGAGGCCAGCTCTCACATTTGAAAATGTCTCAACTTGAGTTAGTGCAGCTTTAACCCATTTCTGGTGGCAGTAAGAGCTGCACCCAGTACACATAGCACCAGCCCCTCACTGCTATCAGCAGGGGCTTCAGGCAAAATGGGCTTAAGTGTCTTGCCCAAGGACACAACGACAGCAGACCTTTCTGAGTGGAGTTTGCATGTTCTCCCCGTGTCTGCGTAGGTTTCCTCCGGGTACTCCGGTTTTCCCTACCACTAAAAATATGTACAATAGGTCTGGCATGCGCCTCCTGTTCGGCGACCCCGCTCCCATCTCTGTGTGGAGTGAGAGACAAATGCCCAAAAAAAATAACAATTGTAAACCGCTTTGTGACTCTGGTCTGTGAAAGGCGGTATATAAATAAAGCTTACTTACTTACAGACATCAGAAGTAGGTATTTGGATGGGCTCGAACCCACGACCTTCAGGTCCAAAGGCCTATGCTCTACCAACTGAGCCACTGTCGCCCCATTTAATTTAATTTAATTTTTATTTATTCCTTTCATGAAAATGCAGTTGCACTTATGATTATTTTTTATGTTAAAGTTATAGGATTTTCTGCTTCCGGGTGGATCATCAAGACGATTGGTCCTCCCAATTGTCAATCATTCTGGTGATTTGTCGTCCAATAAGACCAGAAAGTTTTGTTCTAAAAAGTGTAGAGGGCGGTTCTTTCCCAGCCTGGCCTTATCCATCCGTACACTCCGCTCAATCATCATTTCACTGCATGTAACGTCTGGGTCTGGTCCCTGTGTTGGCGAATACAATCGCTTGAATTTCAACCGACCAATCAGAGAGCGCGGGAGGCGGGTGTTGTAGTTAGATGTGGGTGATGTCAAGAGTTTGCGCCGAACGGGCACGTTGTAGTTTGGTACTGGCGAAGAATGTGATAGTAAAGTAATCCGGTCTGGTTCTATCAAGAAATTGAAGCCGGAGGAAGAGGAAAGTTTAGCAAATGTAATTACTGCAGATTGTGGCGCTACTCCCCACGAGCTCCGATAGTGGAAAAGGAGATGGCTAAAGCTAGGGTAAATGCTAAATGCTAACAACTCACTCGGGTGCATTGTAATGCGTAAACTCAGATCCAATCGTTTCAATCTGCAAAAGGAGTTAACCCTCCCACCTGTAAACGGAGTCAATGGAGCACCTCCAGACCTTAGTACAAAATGTAATTTGTACTATGGTGTGGTACGACCGGACTAGTTCTTTCCTAAAATGTGTGAAAATCCTCCTGTATACCTTTAATGGTTTTGTTCAGCACTTTGGGTGGTCCTGTGTATGAACATGGTTAAAGGTGCCATATTTCACTCTTTGGCTTGTCTCTGCTACATCTTTAACGAGCTATTTTGCTTCATACAAATTCATGCAGTAGTTTTTACATCAATTCCTTCAAGCTTTTTTGTTAGACTGTGAACTTTCTCTTTCAATCTCCAAAAGAAGCAAAACGAGACGACGCACTTTGCTACGTAGCATAACTTAGCTCGAGCTCCAGAAGCCCCGCCCCCAGGAGGTGATTGACAGGAGAGAGAAATCAAACCAGCCTTTCCCAGCTTGTGGTGTGGTCTCAGGTCTACCATAGTCTGTGTTCGCTTATTGTTCTTCTGCTTTTGTCAGCGACTAAAAGTGTTAGCATCATGTCAACTTGGGGAAAATGTGTTTTTGGGTGTAAATATCACTATTTGGTCCAAAGACAATGAATGGGGTGTAGCTGCACTTTTTGTTCACGGGGATCTGCCTCTGAAATCTGCGACAAATCTATAGTTTTTTGTACTATACATAAAAAACGTCCTTGCCTTTTAATTAACAACAGTAATGATAAGCCTTAGATAATCATATGTAGCAGACAGAATGCTGCCTTCTTTTCAAACTTGTGGTTCTGGTTTGATCTGGAACTATAGGCTTCTCCTTATAATGGTATGGCTGCTTTTTGGTCCAGGTTTAGTCTCAGTCTCTGTCTTTGCCCCAGCCTCAGCTTCATCTCAGTTTCTGCCTCTGTCCTTGTCCCTGTCACAGTCCCAGTCTCTGCCTCTGTCTCTGCCTCTTCCCCAGCCTCTGCCTCAGTCTCTGCCTCAGCCTCTCTGTCTCTGCCTCATCTCAGTCTCTGTCTCAGTCTCTGCCTCAGCATCAGTCTCTGCCTCAGACTCTGCCTCAGCCTATCTGTCTCTACCTCATCTCAGCCTCTGTCTCTGTCTCTGTCTCAGCCTCTGCCTCAGCCTCTGCCTCAGCCTCTGTCTCAGCCTCAGCCTCATCTCAGTCTCTGTGTCTGCTTCCGCCTCAGCCTCATCTCAGTCTCTGTCTCTGCTTCCGCCTCAGCCTCATCTCAGTCTCATCTTAGTCTCTTTCTCTGCCTCAGCCTCTGTCTCTGCCTCAGCCTCAACCTCTGTCTCTGCCTCAGCCTCTGTCTCTGCCTCAGCCTCAACCTCTGTCTCTGCCTCAGCCTCTGCCTCAGTCTCAGTCTCAGTCTCTGCCTCTGCCTCACCTCTGCTTCTCTCTCTGCCTCACATCCCAGTCTCAGTCTCAGTCTCTGCCTCTGCCTCACCTCTGCTTCTCTCTCTGCCTCACATCCCAGTCTCAGTCTCAGTCTCTGCCTCTGCCTCACCTCTGCTTCTCTCTCTGCCTCACATCCCAGTCTCAGCCTCAGTCTCTGCCGCTGCCTCACCTCTGCTTCTCTCTCTGCCTCACATCCCAGTCTCAGTCTCAGTCTCAGCCTCAGCCTCTGCCTCACCTCTGCTTCTCTCTCTGCCTCACATCCCAGTCTCAGCCTCAGCCTCTGCCTCACCTCTGCTTCTCTCTCTGCCTCACATCCCAGTCTCAGCCTCAGTCTCAGCCTCTGCCTCACCTCTGCTTCTCTCTCTGCCTCACATCCCAGTCTCAGCCTCAGTCTCTGCCGCTGCCTCACCTCTGCTTCTCTCTCTGCCTCACATCCCAGTCTCAGCCTCTGCCTCTGCCTCACCTCTGCTTCTCTCTCTGCCTCACATCCCAGTCTCAGCCTCAGTCTCTGCCTCTGCCTCACCTCTGCTTCTCTCTCTGCCTCACATCCCAGTCTCAGTCTCAGTCTCTGCCTCTGCCTCACCTCTGCTTCTCTCTCTGCCTCACATCCCAGTCTCAGCCTCAGTCTCTGCCGCTGCCTCACCTCTGCTTCTCTCTCTGCCTCACATCCCAGTCTCAGTCTCAGTCTCAGCCTCAGCCTCTGCCTCACCTCTGCTTCTCTCTCTGCCTCACATCCCAGTCTCAGCCTCAGCCTCTGCCTCACCTCTGCTTCTCTCTCTGCCTCACATCCCAGTCTCAGCCTCAGTCTCAGCCTCTGCCTCACCTCTGCTTCTCTCTCTGCCTCACATCCCAGTCTCAGCCTCAGTCTCTGCCGCTGCCTCACCTCTGCTTCTCTCTCTGCCTCACATCCCAGTCTCAGCCTCTGCCTCTGCCTCACCTCTGCTTCTCTCTCTGCCTCACATCCCAGTCTCAGCCTCAGTCTCTGCCTCTGCCTCACCTCTGCTTCTCTCTCTGCCTCACATCCCAGTCTCAGCCTCAGCCTCTGCCTCACCTCTGCTTCTCTCTCTGCCTCACATCCCAGTCTCAGCCTCAGTCTCAGCCTCTGCCTCACCTCTGCTTCTCTCTCTGCCTCACATCCCAGTCTCAGCCTCAGTCTCTGCCGCTGCCTCACCTCTGCTTCTCTCTCTGCCTCACATCCCAGTCTCAGCCTCTGCCTCTGCCTCACCTCTGCTTCTCTCTCTGCCTCACATCCCAGTCTCAGCCTCAGTCTCTGCCTCTGCCTCACCTCTGCTTCTCTCTCTGCCTCACATCCCAGTCTCAGCCTCAGCCTCTGCCTCACCTCTGCTTCTCTCTCTGCCTCACATCCCAGTCTCAGCCTCAGTCTCAGCCTCTGCCTCACCTCTGCTTCTCTCTCTGCCTCACATCCCAGTCTCAGCCTCAGTCTCTGCCGCTGCCTCACCTCTGCTTCTCTCTCTGCCTCACATCCCAGTCTCAGCCTCTGCCTCTGCCTCACCTCTGCTTCTCTCTCTGCCTCACATCCCAGTCTCAGCCTCAGTCTCAGCCTCTGCCTCACCTCTGCTTCTCTCTCTGCCTCACATCCCAGTCTCAGTCTCAGTCTCAGCCTCAGCCTCTGCCTCACCTCTGCTTCTCTCTCTGCCTCACATCCCAGTCTCAGCCTCAGCCTCTGCCTCACCTCTGCTTCTCTCTCTGCCTCACATCCCAGTCTCAGCCTCAGTCTCTGCCGCTGCCTCACCTCTGCTTCTCTCTCTGCCTCACATCCCAGTCTCAGCCTCTGCCTCTGCCTCACCTCTGCTTCTCTCTCTGCCTCACATCCCAGTCTCAGCCTCAGTCTCTGCCTCTGCCTCACCTCTGCTTCTCTCTCTGCCTCACATCCCAGTCTCAGCCTCAGTCTCAGCCTCTGCCTCACCCTCTGCTTCTCTCTCTGCCTCACATCCCAGTCTCAGCCTCAGTCTCTGCCTCTGCCTCACCTCTGCTTCTCTCTCTGCCTCACATCCCAGTCTCAGCCTCAGCCTCTGCCTCACCTCTGCTTCTCTCTCTGCCTCACATCCCAGTCTCAGCCTCAGTCTCAGCCTCTGCCTCACCTCTGCTTCTCTCTCTGCCTCACATCCCAGTCTCAGCCTCAGTCTCTGCCGCTGCCTCACCTCTGCTTCTCTCTCTGCCTCACATCCCAGTCTCAGCCTCTGCCTCTGCCTCACCTCTGCTTCTCTCTCTGCCTCACATCCCAGTCTCAGCCTCAGTCTCAGCCTCTGCCTCACCTCTGCTTCTCTCTCTGCCTCACATCCCAGTCTCAGTCTCAGTCTCAGCCTCAGCCTCTGCCTCACCTCTGCTTCTCTCTCTGCCTCACATCCCAGTCTCAGCCTCAGCCTCTGCCTCACCTCTGCTTCTCTCTCTGCCTCACATCCCAGTCTCAGCCTCAGTCTCTGCCGCTGCCTCACCTCTGCTTCTCTCTCTGCCTCACATCCCAGTCTCAGCCTCTGCCTCTGCCTCACCTCTGCTTCTCTCTCTGCCTCACATCCCAGTCTCAGCCTCAGTCTCTGCCTCTGCCTCACCTCTGCTTCTCTCTCTGCCTCACATCCCAGTCTCAGCCTCAGTCTCAGCCTCTGCCTCACCTCTGCTTCTCTCTCTGCCTCACATCCCAGTCTCAGCCTCAGTCTCTGCCGCTGCCTCACCTCTGCTTCTCTCTCTGCCTCACATCCCAGTCTCAGCCTCAGTCTCAGCCTCTGCCTCTGCCTCTGCCTCTGCTTCTCTCTCTGCCTCACATCCCAGTCTCAGCCTCAGTCCTGAAGTGGCTGTTGAGTGCCGCTGCTGTCTGTCTCTGCCCTTTAATCACACATGGATTAGCGTCAGTTTCATAATTATAGTCGTCTTCGTCTCTGTGTGACGCCGGGTCCTTTCTCCGCGGTGGCTTTCACGGCTTCCGGCTGTTTCCCCCAAAAATCTCTGAATGTGATGTTTGAGTGACTGAGACGGTTAGTGCCGGCAGATAATCCTGGACTCCTCACTTTGACTCAACAAAGATCACGGCTCTTCTTAAACTAGAATAAAATCAGCTTTTGTTGTTTGTCGAATGTGTTGAAACGCAATTATGTTTGTTTCTGAATCAACAAACTTTTATTGTATGGATTCAATTTGTTTTGTTTTCGTCTGGGACTAAATCACAGCAGCGGTCGTCTTGAAGGATCCTTTATTCTAACCCTAACCACTGTAGGGGAAATTTCAATGTTGCAGCGCACAGACAGGACACTAGTAAGAGCTCATACAACATACAATATCAGTAGCTGCTGTTTCTGTATAAATGTCTCTGTCTCTCTCTAGTCTCTGGTCTCTCTCTAGTCTCTTGTCTCTCTCTAGTATCTTGTCTTTCTCTAGTCTCTGGTTTCTGGTCTCTCTCTAGTCTCTTGTCTCTCTCTAGTATCTTTTCTTTCTCTAGTCTCTGGTCTCTCTCTAGTCTCTGGTCTCTCTCTAGTCTCTGGTCTCTCTCTAGTATCTTGTCTTTCTCTAGTCTCTCTCTAGTCTCTGGTCTCTCTCTAGTATCTTTTCTTTCTCTAGTCTCTCTCTAGTCTCTGGTCTCTCTCTAGTATCTTGTCTTTCTCTGGTCTCTGGTCTCTCTCTAGTCTCTGGTCTCTCTCTAGTCTCTTGTCTTTCTATAGTCTCTGGTCTCTCTCTAGTCTCTGGTCTCTCTCTAGTCTCTGGTCTCTCTCTAGTCTCTGGTCTCTCTCTAGTATCTTGTATTTCTCTAGTCTCTGGTCTCTTTCTAGTCTCTGGTCTCTCTTTAGTCTCTGGTCTCTCTCTAGTATCTTGTCTTTCTCTAGTCTCTCTCTAGTCTCTGGTCTCTCTCTAGTATCTTGTCTTTCTCTAGTCTCTGGTCTCTCTCTAGTCTCTGGTCTCTCTCTAGTCTCTTGTCTTTCTCTAGTCTCTGGTCTCTCTCTAGTCTCTGGTCTCTCTCTAGTCTCTGGTCTCTCTCTAGTATCTTGCCTTTCTCTAGTCTCTGGTCTCTCTCTAGTCTCTGGTCTCTCTCTAGTATCTTGCCTTTCTCTAGTCTCTGGTCTCTCTCTAGTCTCTGGTCTCTCTCTAGTATCTTGCCTTTCTCTAGTCTCTGGTCTCTCTCTAGTCTCTGGTCTCTCTCTAGTATCTTGTCTTTCTCTAGTCTCTGGCCTCTCTCTAGTCTCTGGTCTCTCTCTAGTATCTGGTCTCTCTCTAGTCTCTGGTCTCTCTCTAGTCTCTGGTCTCTCTCTAGTATCTGGTCTCTCTCTAGTCTCTGGTCTCTCTCTAGTATCTTGTCTTTCTCAAGTCTCTGGTCTCTCTCTAGTCTCTGGTCTCTCTCTAGTATCTTGCCTTTCTCTAGTCTCTGGTCTCTCTCTAGTCTCTGGTCTCTCTCTAGTATCTTGTCTTTCTCTAGTCTCTGGTCTCTCTCTAGTCTCTGGTCTCTCTCTAGTATCTTGTCTTTCTCTAGTCTCTGGTCTCTCTCTAGTATCTTGTCTTTCTCTAGTCTCTCTCTAGTATCTTGTCTTTCTCTAGTCTCTGGTCTCTCTCTAGTATCTTGTCTCTCTCTAGTATCTTGTCTCTCTCTAGTATCTTGTCTTTCTCTAGTGTCTCTCTAGTCTCTTGTCTCTCTCTAGTCTCTTGTCTCTCTCTAGTCTCTTGTCTCTCTCTAGTATCTTGTCTTTCTCAAGTCTCTGGTCTCTCTCTAGTATCTTGTCTCTCTCTAGTATCTTGTCTTTCTCTAGTGTCTCTCTAGTATCTTGTCTCTCTCTAGTATCTTGTCTTTCTCTAGTCTCTGGTCTTTCTCTCTCTTGCTCTTTCTCTCTTTCTGTTCTCTCTCTCTCTTCTGTTATCTTTGTCTCTCTGTCTTTCTGTTGTCTTTCTCTCTCTCTCTTTCAGTTCTCTCTCTCTCTCTCTCTGTCTTTCAGTTCTCTTTTTGTTCTATCTCTCTCTCTTCCTGTTCTCTCTCTCTCTCTTTCTGTTCTCTTTCTCTCTCTCTTTCTGTTCTCTCTCTCTCTTTCTGTTCTCTCTCTCTCTCTCTCTTTCAGTTCTCTTCTCTCTCTCTCTCTTTCTGTTCTCTTTCTCTCTCTCTCTCTCTCTTGCTGTTCTCTTTCTCTCTCTCTTTCAGTTCTCCTTCTCTTCTCTCTCTCTTTTTGTTCTCTTTCTCTCTCTCTGTTTATGTTCTCTTTCTCTTCTCTTCTCTCTCTCTCTGGGATGAACATGGACTTTGATGAAGTAGAAAATATGGGTAAACAGATATTATAGAAAAACTGTAGCGGTACAAACTGGGAATCATATTTTACATTTATTCTGAATATCCAACATGGTGCGGTCAATATCTGGACTGACAGTGATGACCAGTGTTGTACCTTTTTATGTGAAATTCTGGCAACACTGCATGTACCGTTTACCCCATAGACTGTATATATTAATGGACAGAGTCACGCCTATCTCTGCCTGCCGTTCTAACTAATGGGCCAAAAATAGCGCTCTACTGGAGCTATCCAAAATGGCCGCGAGTGGTCCCGCCCACAAGAAAATTGTGAAAAAACGCATCTGCGCAGCTTCAGCCGGCGCAACTCCATTCATTTGACCGAGAGACTTCAAAAATTCACAGCAAGTAAACTAGAGTGGTCCAAAAACATTCACCCCCCTCAGCATTGACACACATGTGGAACGGAGCTTTGGGCCAAGAGACAACTTTTGGTCCATCCTGTAAAGACGTTTTTGAGAGGTCTGCCAATGCTATATGTTAGCATTGGCTAATTCTTCTTCTGGGTCCACCCCCATTGGCCCGGGGTGGTATTGCAGCATGTCAGCGCACGTCATTTTGGCCACTTTTGAGCCGAAACCCGCCCCCACTGGTAGACACCCAAAAAAAAAAAAAAAAAACTTTTGGGTAATCACCAAAGGATGATCCGACCACTACTACTACTACATGTAAACAACCCAGCATCCTCTCTGTTTTCTCACACCAATCCAGCAGTTTCAATTTGGACTTTCTCATCTCTCGGCTTCTCCACAACAACAGCAACAAAACCTCTTTCGTTTCCAAACCCTAAAGAAAAAACGCTGTCAAAATAAATCACTTCCTGTTTTGAATTCACCATCCCCCCTCCGACAAACCTCAGGACTCAATCAATCCCTCTCCATTCATCCCTCTTCCACAATAGATCTGATTAACCCTTTTCACTATTTCCATTACAAAGCACAGGGGAAGGCGCTGGGATTGGAAACGCAAAAGAAAAAAGTAGAAAGAAATGTTGATAATAAAGCCGTCTTCAAAGCAACCTCGGTTGAATATTAAGCGCTGGTTTTTGGCATCTGGATCCAGGACTGTTTTCTTTGTGGGAAATATGGCTTTGATTATCTTTTGAGATGTACAGTAAGCAGGAGACAGGACTGCAGCTGTCACGGCTGAGTCTTCTGGTTGTTCACGGAGAATGAGACTTGAGCTATAGTCTCGAGAATCCACACAATTCTCCAAGAAATGTCTTTTAAATACTTAGATATTCGTATTCTATGTATAATGTCTAAGATTTGATTTCCAAACTTTTCCTATGGGCGTATATGGGAGAGATCAGTGCTGTATTACCGACCCTTTTTCTCTTGTCTATTCTTTCGTATACTAAAGAAAAAGCCCTGTGAGTGGCTATTGGAGAGATGATTGGCTGAGTGAGGGTAGAGGTCTAATTTTTGTACTTTTCTGTCTGAAGCACGGGTGATAGAGACCAAAAATAGAGAGTGAGGAACTACTATGAAATGTAATGTCCATCCATTTTCCACCCTTTAATCCATTTCTGGGTCAGGGGGGTGGCAGTCAGAGATGCCACCCAAGTCTCATAGCACCAGCCCCTCACTGACCCTCTGCAGGTGGTGAGTCCACAGGAGGACGGCTGCTCTCTGAGTGAGAGCATAGCCTTGATCTTTCAGTGGGGGCTTTGGGCAAAGTGGGGTTAAGTGTCTGTGAAATGTAATGTATGGTTCAAAAATCCCTTTGTCTGAGAATGACTGAGAATGACTTTTAAATGCACTGGAAAACAACTGCAGTGACAACAGTTGGATTAAAAGACTCCTCTCCTGTCTGTAGGGTTTTGACTTGAAAAAGAATGAAAAATGTACCTATTTCATAAATATCTAATAGTTAAACGTCGAGGTCATCGTTCTGTTACAGATTTTGAGCCCTGTCTGTACTGAATCACAGAAATGAGATTGTTCAGGCAACTTTTCTGTCTGCTGTCGTCATGGCGATGGTGTTTGGGTTCAGTTTCTTTCTCTGATCTAAAGTCGCAAGGTTCACATTTTCACGGAAAACTCAAAACTGTCCAAACTCACCACAGTAACTCAGCCTTTTGTATCTGTTTGAAGAGAGAGACATTTTATTAAGTTTATGTGTAAAGGCCTTTGGAAAAACAGGACTAAACTTAGAAAAAAAGGTTTATAATATTTTGCACCACAAAATTGTGATTATTTGCCAATTTCTAACAGTTAATTAATTATTATTATTATTATTTTTTATAGTTTCACAAAGCCCTTTAGCTTCCCTTTGTCAGACTGCTAGCTTTACCCGCATGGATGTGTGTGTGTGGTTCCCTGGAGACGCTGATATTTCTGTGATGCTAATTCTTTATCCACGGCGGGCGTTGATCAAAACGCTAATTTGCTAAAAGCTAACGATGAAAAGATGGGAGAGGAACGTGGCGGTGTGGTTTTCGCCATCCGTCAGCTAGCGAAGCAGGACGATCATGTGACAGCGGCGGCGGCGGCGGCTGATTTGAATGACATATTTTTTACTGCCAAAACTTAAAGTGTGAAACCAATTATGTTTATTACATGAAAAGGCTCAGTGCGTCTGTCAGAACAAACAGAAGAT